GCTCTGTCTCGATGATGCGAAAGAGAACCCGGACGACGCCCTGGCCGATTACCCGGTCAGCGAGACCCGGAGCGGCAGACCGAAGCAGTTGCTTCCAGTCGTAGAACGGGTCGTTTGTTACGTCTCTGAACGACACGTCGTTGGCAATGCACTGCGCGCGCGTGCTTTCCGGACTTTCTCTGCCGGCTGCCGCCCTGCGAGGCTACGCCCGGCATGCTCCTTCGGGTGGCGGCCGAGGTCTCGCACTTGCTGCATGAGCTCCTCGGTATTGTCCCGCTTTTGCTGCATGAGCTCCTCGGTCTTCTGCTTCCGCTTGAGCTCCTCGGTCTCCGTCTGCTGATCAGCACAGCCCAGGGCCCGCAGTTCATGCAAAATGTCTTTTCGCTTCGGTATCCGGCCGAATTGCTTCACGTGCTCGACGAGCGTTTGCAGAGGACCGCTCAATGCAGCACGCTGAGGAGCAGCGCTGTTCCCTGCCGCAGGCTGAGGAGCACCGCTGTTCAATGCAGCAGGGTCAGGAGCACCGCCGCCAGACCGAGAACTATCAGCATGTCCTGGCATTAAGGTGCGCAGTAGGCGCTGCGCAGTTCCTTTGAAAGGAAATCTTCGAAAGCAGGGCTGTAGCCAAGAAGGCTACGGGGACGATGATGATGATGAAGATGATGAGTCTTGGAAGTCTGGGAAGTGGAAGAGCACGAAGTGGCGTACAGTTGGCTCCGGGCATTCAAAATGTGGCCCGGGAGTGGAGTTCTGGGAAATGGAAGAGCACGAAGTGGCCTACAGTTGGCTCCAGGCATTCAAAATGTGGCCCGGGAGTGGTGTTCCGGGAACTCGAAGAGCACGAAGTGGCCTACAGTTGGCTCCGGGCATCCAAAATGTAGCCCGGGAATGGAGTTCTGGGAAATCGAAGAGCACGAAGTGGCCTACAGTTGGCTCCGGGCATTCAAAATGTGGCCCAGGAGTGGAGTTCTGGGACCTCGAAGAGCACGAAGTGTGCGACTGTTTGCTTAAAACGACCCCGGTTCTCGCCTGTCCGGCTCCCGCCCAGACCCCCCTGGGGAGTCATCAGATGCTCTCTTTTGACCCCATTAGAAACCTATCAGTCTTCGCTGTTAGGTAACAAAACAAAAAAGAAGGAAATAATATGTGTGTGTATGTAAACAACAAATATCCCGGCAAAGCAACCTAACAGCGATGTGTAGGAGCATATCTGGAAGCATTCCCCTTAAGATTCAGATGAGAATCCTGTTGTAGAATTCTGCTGTTCTCGCAGTCGTAGTCGCATTCGCGATGGCAGTCGCAGTGGCAACGGCAGTCGCAGTCACAGCCTCAGCCTCAGCCTGCCTCAGCCTCAGCCTCAGCCTGCCTCCTCAGCCTCAGCCTCAGCCTGCTTCAGCCTCAGCCTCAGTCTGCCTTCAGCCTCGGCCTCAGCCTCAGCCTGCCTCAGCCTCAGCCTGCATCAGCCTCAGCCTCAGCCTCAGCCTGCCTCAGCATCAGCCTGCCTCAGCCTCAGCCTCAGCCTCAGCCTCAGCCTCAGCCTCAGCCTGCTTCAGCCTCAGCCTCAGTCTGCCTTCAGCCTCGGCCTCAGCCTGAGCCTGCCTCAGCCTCAGCCTGCATCAGCCTCAGCCTCAGCCTCAGCCTGCCTCAGCATCAGCCTGCCTCAGCCTCAGCCTGCCTCAGCCTCAGCC